ATCCAATTCTGACAATCTCGCGGTAGAACCAGGCACAAATCCTGCCTGTGGTAACAGGGACTTAGAACCCTCCGGGCACCATTCATTTGGAGGGCACAGCGCTGACCCGTACGAAGGTTACCTCAAGTCATTGTTCAGACCAAATCGCCGTCAACTTTCTGGATGGAAGATAAATAGGAAAAGATTGTTGAATGCTTTGTCCTTCATAATTTTGTGTCATGCTAAATGTCATCGGTACTGTAGGTTTTCTTTTGGCGTAGCACTATTACTGTTAATATTTTGTGCAGAGCGACTCAATTCATCCTTCCACGAATCTTCCCTTTGAATCACAATGGTGTGGCTTTCGAGCAGCTCCTCCAGCTCTGTGCCTGCGCGCCCTGCGACTGAATGCGTGCTTTCATGATCGTCGGCTTTTTATCGAGGACCTTCTGTGGGATCGGCTACGGCTTCTTCCAGATCGTGAGCGCGATCTCCTCGATCTTCTTCTACGTCTTCTGGAGCCACTCGCTGATCTCGAGCGGCGAGACCTCGATCGGCTGTGGGATCTTCTCGAGCGTTGCGTCCGGGACGTCGTCTTCTGCTGTGGCCACGAGAGCTTTCTGGAGTTCATCTCTTCGCATTAGGATAATCTATGGAAACCATGGACTAAAAAACTAGACGTGAGAGACTGCAAAGACATCTGACACCTCACTCGACTACTGTGGGAAACTCTCACGTGCCTCATGCGGCGATTCATGAGGCAGAGGGTGAACGAAAAAAGTGACAGCAAGATAGCAGCTGATGCGTTCGGCAGACGACAACCTATTAAGCCGTCATAACTGTTCAAAAAAGTCCTGCAAAAAGAAACGGAAAAGTGAACGAACGGAGAATCTTCAAGGGAGACACCTCAGAAACCTCCATGCCTATTCTTACTTTTTGCCGCAGACTCTCCAATGATCAGAAATTTTCAAAAGCCAATATTCATAATGGACTAAAAAAAACGTCACTGCCTCTTTTTTCAAAAATAACCTGCATAGGTGATCGTGCGCAGCCTACCATGTAACTAGGACTTCTGCGGTTGCCGAAACAGAGCTGCCGCAACTGAGCTTTTAAACTGTTATGTTGGAGTCGCGTCCATTACTGAGGAAATCCTCAAAGATCTGATTTCTAGATCTTCGTTCTGACTCTAACGTTTTCCCTGCATCGCAAATGCATTCCTGAACACATGCTTTCGTTGTCAATAGCCTTTTGATTTTTCTCTCACATGTGAGTGGCACTGCTAAGCTGAGGCTGTCCGTTTTGGTTGATGAGCCATGTCAAATTGGAGAAACGAAGAACGGCGTAGGCGAATCTGATGAAAAACGACGTGAGGCGAGAAAATGCGACAGACAACAAGAAATTGCTTGAGTAGGAAAGAGGCAGTGAAGCGATCGCACATGACGAACTGAACGACCTGACAGACAGCTTGCGTTGAACTTAGAGGGAGACAGAACCTCCGCACTGGCGGACCTCCTTAGAAAACTTCACCTAGCTCGTCATTTCACACTAGCTGATTAAAAGCTTCCCATGTAAACATGAGCAAGCAATTTCTCGCACAGTAGGTATATTCAGAAAATCACAGAAGTGCTCTCGGTGAATAAATCTACAGGTTGGGGACAAAATACTGAGACTGAGAAAAACCCTGAATTTGTAGGGACCCCATTTTGCGTTTCTTGACGGATTTTTCTGCTTTTTTGCCACTGGCGTACCATTGAGCACAACCACGTTACCATGAGCCCTTCTTGAATTTTTCGTAATCGCTGGCGAAAAACGCTACAAAAATGTCACATTTCAAGAAACACATGTGTTATGAAAGAAATACTTTCCATTGTGGAACGCTTGAAGCGAAAAATATGGGATTGGTGTTCGCTTGGGGCTGAGATTTTTTCTACAATTCAGAATCCTTGTGGTAAGTGAGAAGTTTTATTTCAATGTCATTAAAATATTTTCAAAAAACTATTCGATTGGCCAAAAGAAAATACAAAAACGGTTAGGCCATTGTCAGGCTTTGCTAATCCGTGGATTCGCCAGCGAATCCGGCATAAGGTTGCAGCAGCTACACTAGTGCATCAATCAAGGTCTTTGAAAAGGATACATTTGAAGCTCTATCTTTTCTTAAATTTTCCGAAGTTTGGCCTTGAAAATCTTTGAACTGATTCCTGTAGCCCACTGGTACGCCTTAGGTCGGCCATTTGCCGAGATTACTCCAATTCTTTTCGTGAAGACTTTATTGCCCCCATAAACCCTACATAACTACCTCGACAAGACCTAAAGTGTGCGCGAGCAATCTAAAGAAACTCCCACTTGCAAATACATGCTCTTCAGTTTGAGTACCACTTCTGCGCTCTGAGTAATCACTAATAACCATAACAAACACTAACCATCGCACAATAACTTTGTTTACCGAAGGGTGCTAGCCCAGTTTCTTTCTTCTTTCACTTACAACAACTGTGGTAAGTGGAGAAACAAGAACTCTTGAGCCTGAGCTCCAACTGACCCCATGACCATAACAGGCATCAGAGAGTACTTTATAAAATGAACTTGTCATTCAAAAAAAAACTGGACATATTTAACTCGTTTGGTTTTCGCATCGCTATCAACCTGAATCTCTGATAGCACATGACACACACAAACTCC